ATTTCTTAAACAATTTGTCTTTCATACCACTAATAAGCTTCACTGCAACTATGAATCACCATCCCTGTAAGTGCTCAAAAAGGGGTGGATATGGCACTTGAGGACATGGTTTAATGGTGAACATGTTGGTGCTGCTGGGTTGACATTTGGACTTGATCTTAAATGTTTTTTTCCAACCTTCACAATTCTGTCATTTTAGGACAATGGACTACATTCCCTCAACATATTGTTAACAGTGTCTCAAACTTTACAACTTGGGTGAACAGATTTAACATTCATAGGAAGGTTATACTAAAAGAAAAAATTAATAACTCTTCAGGAATATGAATGTTATACTGATCTCAATTAACCATCCTGTTCTGAATAATTAAGGCAGAGGACTGTGTGATTTCAATGTTTGAGTAGACAATGTTCAAGTGTAATAGGTAATCATAAAACAAATATGTTACTCATCGCTGCGTTCTTTTTTGCTTTAATTCTGTCATTTAATATTTTAAAGTTGTGAAAATTTACTGTGATAATTTCATTTGTATATGATCTTTATTTGAAAGGAACCTCTTTTTTTTCCAGGGGTTTTCACAGAAGAGGAGCAACCTAGCACAAGGCATCCTGGACTCCTCCAGATGCACAGCCTGGGGAAGAGCAGGCATGTTATGTTGGTTGTGCATCAGACAGCTGTCTAGGTGATAGGGTGACACCAAACTTTCCCAAATCAAATTGCCTGCACCCCATTATTTATTAGCTTTCTTCTACAAAGTTTAATAACTTGGTAGAGATGGACAGGAAGGAAAATAGAAAAGCCATGCATCTGTGCTGCTTGAGAACTGTTTTTTCGTGGCTTAGTTTGACCTGATTTGGTCCTTGTCATCTTCTTTGTTTACTTTCCAAGTTCTTGTAATGAGACTTGCAGGTCTCATTGCAAAATTGCAAAATTTTATTGTTGTTATAGCTGGCACGATTGAAAAACAAATTTCAATGCTAAACAAAGTCTTAACTGGCCCCCAAAGCACAGCAATAATGCTAGTAGATCAGACAGAATCAAACTCCACTTGTATAAAGAGAATTACAATGCACCTGGCATAGCAGTAGCATTTCTAGAACATGGCCTTTTACTCCTACAACTGATCTAACAAGTCTGGGTTGGGATGACTTTCCCCCATTTAAAAAATACTGTATGACAGACTATATGCTCTGTAGGAATGGGAGAGGGACATATGCAGGTGTTTTGAACAATTAAAGCAATTCTGAAAAGCCCTTTGCTTTTTACATAGTTTGGTAATACAGTTAAAAGTATTTTCTTAAGAACAAAAACCATATGGTTAAGTACATCTGCAAGACAGATTTGGGAATATTCTTATCTAGGCACTGCTGTGATCCCAGATTTGCCTCAGAATTGTGGGTTGTTTTGTTTCTCTCATTCAAATGCACCACTTCCTGTGTAAAACCTATAAATCTGAAAGGAGATATTACAGTCCTGTCTCCTTATCTTTTCTTCTCATGAAGACTGAGAGAAAATAACTTAGGGAGACATTTTCAATCCATTGCACTGTAAAGCACATCACCAGAACTTGTCCTCTTTCTGCTCCATAGCAACACAAGTAACACGGTGACTGGGGGAGAAAAAAGCAATATTCCACCTCATTCTGAAAATAATGAGAAAAAAACAGGAAATGCCTCATTTCTTTATCTAGGCTGGTTAAACTGTCTACAGTCATCATGAGAACTCGTATTGCTTCATATTAACCTTGTTGAAACTGCTCCTCACACAAGGAAAACAGCATCTGAAAAGCTAGAAGTTTTCTAAAAATTTCTTACAACCTTTTTCTATTTTATTATTGAGGGTATTAATCTGATAATGTTGACAGAATATTAGACTTCTTACTAATGTAGGCAGTTATGGGGCATGCATCATTTTCTTAAAGAACTGTGTATCAATGAGAACTACCTCTGCTTTACTCCCACTCTGCAAGAGTTCAACAAACTCAGAAATAAATTTGGACTAGAAATGTGGACTTTTTTGAGCAGATTCAACACAACATCTGGCTGAACAAAAAAACAACTGGATCTGAAGGAAAGCATTGGTTTGGGGTGCATCTGCCTGGATCATTTCTTACAGAGTACTTGTCAGACATCAAGTCAACCAAAGGCTTTGAAACACAAGAAAACCAGTTTTGAAAGAATATCAAACAGGATAAATAAAAGGAGAGAACTCAGAACAATGAGAAAAAGATGAATGAGACTAAGAAGGCTTCTCTACAACTTTCAGTATTGTCAGAGGATCCCTGCAGGCTGTGCTTGATCCTAGACTTTGTTTCCATCACCTGCTCTCAGGAAACCCTGTATGTTTTTATGAGAGCTGGAGTTCCACCTTCCCTGCTGCCTTGCTGCTCCTTCTGCCAACCATAGCTACTGTCTGCAACCATGGGCACTGTCCATAACAGAAGCCACTGGTTTTACTGATGCAAAAGCTCTTCCCACACTGTTTCTAGAACAGCCTTGTCTAAACATCCTGACACAACATGAAAGGAAGGGGAAGAATACATGAATAGTTCTCTGGCATACTAATTCAGCTCTAACATAAATATGTTTAGACCGGATTAAGGTACTACTGTTTCATCATGTCTTTAAAGACAACACATAAAACTGTCACTCAAATGGAAGCTTTTTTGGAAATTAATCAATTCTTACAGAATACTTAATAGCAGACTAGCACAAACAGCTCTATGACATATTCCTGCTGCAAAAGAAGGTGCTGTCTTAGCTCTAATAAATTATCAGTTTTTTCCTGTTTTGAATTCTCTCCAGTCAGTTCTTGTAGGACTCACTCAACATCTTTAATTAGGATCTGTATGCAGTGAAAGAACCTGAGTGGATAGAACATCCTGCTGGCCTATTCCTATACATGTCCATACCAAGAAGATGCTGAACCTGCACTAAAACAAAACATTGTTGGATAATAAGTTAGGGTTGAAAGACCTATGAATTGACCATGAAGCTATCAAGGAGAGTGGAACTCATTCTCTCTCTTCTGACATTTAACAAAATAATCTTTACTACTGCATGTCACAAGAAGAAATTTATATATTTGTTATATACAGAAATTTCCTACATTTGTTCCCCTATATAACAATATACAGGATTTAACTACAAACACAATGACTAGAAACATCTGTTGAAGAAAATACCTCTGAGATACCTAGGATTCACAGTCTGGGGGACTGTCTTAAAATTCAACTCAATCATCACTAGTCAATTTGTCAGGTTCCAAAGTGCTATGACACACAGGTAGGTCAGCTACCCATTTTCCCAAAAGCAAGAGGAACCTTGCTGAAGAAAGTTTATTTAGGACCTAGAAAAGGAGATGGGGTTAGCAACACCTCAGTCCTTTCCCACAACTGACATATATTTCAGATGACCTGAAAATAAACTTGAACTAAGTGAAGTAAGGTTGAAATCAGGAATTATTTTGACAGCTGACACGGTATTCTGACCTATGAGGAAGAGATTAAATGAACAGGTACATTTAGTCTCCCCCCTCTGACACATTTTCCTGATTTTTAAGGCAAAAAATATACACAAATCCACTATTCTAGGTGTTCTGATTTTCTATAGAATAACTGTAGGAACTTCTGGAGATTAATACAGATCAAAGTAGAGCTCGGAACTCTGTAAAACACTTAAAACAGAAACATTTGTGGAAGGTCTGTGGATTGTAGCATGGAGCTAAATCCTGACTACAGCAGAAGCAATCCACTGTGACACAGAGACCTGGAGGGAAAGGAAAAAGCATTAGCTTTTTCATTAGATTGATTAACGTGAGGGAATGACCACAAGAAACATCCCCAAAACTGCCAAACTGCACATAGTCTTTCAATTTCTCCTTCATGCTAAGACCTTGTAGAGGCTTACATGTGTTTTACCAATGAAAGGAGAATACCTGGAGAAGAAATCCACCAACATATTCAGAACAGAAGCTACCTTTTTACATTAGCCATCTTCACTAACCATTACCTGGTCTAGTAAATGCCATGTGCTGAAAATTGAGTAGAAAAGTCCTTGGGGAAGTTTCATGCGTACTTACTCATCCCTCAGCATCTCCCTGGCTCCAGGCTTTCACTAGCCTCAAGAAAATCAAAGTTCAACAGGCAAAAGGAGGTATTCCACCCACAAATAGCATGGTACATTTCAAAATGAAAATTTAATTAGCACAAACAAAGCTAAGGCTGCCCATCTTAATAAAAGCCTTCTCAAAAGAGAGCACAGTTCAAAAATGGTCCTTTACCCTGAGAGGAAGGTCACTCCTCCACCTCACAGCAGCTAATGAAGCATCTGGCAGCGCATTCAGTAAAGGCGGCTGCCAGTTCTGTCTCCAATGCCATGTACATCAGTTATGCTACACATATGTCCACACACATTGAGAACACATTTCCAATTAGACTTTAGATCTTGCTTTGAAAAAACACTGGCTGCATACCAGAGGAAACAAAATTAATATGCTTTCCCCCCCACCATTTCTACACAGAAAATCAAATGAGAGTTTGCAGAAGCAACACCTTGGAAATGAAGAGTGGGAAGAATCAGAACAATAAAGAGAGCATGAAAAGGAATAAAGCCTTTGACTTGCATATGTGCAAAATACTTAAATAAAGATTTCATGCTTTCATTATTTCAGGTAAATATTTCAAGTCTAAGCCTTTTCTATAACTGACACGTGCATCTCCATAAAGGGCTTTCCTATAACCAACATGCATTTCATCCTCATCTCTGGAACTCTTCAAATTTAACTGATATTGGCTCTGGAAATGCTCACCCCAGGAGTTTGGCCACTAGCCTTCTCTGCACAACCAACCCACTTGGAAAAGACTTGTCTTTATGGTGTCCTATACTGTGCATTCTTATCTCTCCTATTTAACAGTACTGAGGCCACTTCAGAAAAAGAGAACCAAAAATTGCACTTAGTGAACAAAAGCATTAAAGAAAAGCAAATGATAAGAACTTACCTTTATTTCAAACTCATAGTGCTCATCCTTTCCCTGCCCACACAGGACATACCGTGGAATACTAATTTTAATTGGGTCCTTTAGGTCATCTGGATTTGCTCCCAGTGAACGACAGACCATCCGCTTTCATGCACATACCAAATAGGGAGAAGAAAGGAAAACCAAAATCACTACACAAGGAAAAAAAGAAAAGACCTTCACTGAAAATGAAAAAGTGTTCTTGGTCAGAGGAGCAGGCAAAGAGGAGGCAGAAATTACTTCTAAAATGAAGGAATTATTTGAAAACAAAGTGGATCTTGTCTTATAAGCAAGCCCTAGCATATTTTTGTGTATACAAAAATTTAGGTGAAGTGTATTAAAAATATCCCTTTATTTGAAAAGGCATTTTCAGCTTAGACATCAAAAACAAGGGAAAACAGAAGACTTTTTATTAACTCCCTTTCAAAAAAATCAGTGTATTAATCAAGCTTTCATAGTTAGCTCTAATTTTTGTACATCTCTATCTTTTATAACAAATGTTTACAGTATCATGCAAAGCTGCAGGGGTCTAGGCAATTCAGAAAGCTCTTAAACTTTAAAAGTTCAAACCCATTTTGTAATTAAATAAGCAATCCACAGTCAGAATAGTTTCCTACTATTTTTTAATCATATTGGAATCCCAGAAAACTCAACTATGATAAATTTGCACAGTCTGGACACAACAATCTAAAAATTTATTTCCAATGAGAGCTCATTCCTCTGACAGCCAGATGGAATATGTAACTCTGAAATTATGCCAAAAAGAAAACATTTTTGCAACTGAAAAGATTAATGCTTTGCAGTCACTATGCCCAAAAGTAGCATAAGCATTCAGAGTGAAAAAGTAGAGAAACTGCCTTTGAGGGAGTCTCTACTTGCTCCATTGAACATATTTGGTCTGAAAACCTTAATGAACTGGCACTTAAAAAAATAACAGCAACATGACAAATATAAGTTAACAACCAAAAAGATTGAAAAACTATCACTTCACAGTTATGACTATGTTATATATTTCTATTTAGCACTGCTATCCATCACTTGAGCTGTAACTGTATTCTCAACATTCATCTTCTTTGTAGCAACTCCTGGTGATTTCCCGTACACATAAGACTGTGTAGGAGCTGGAGAAGAATTTGAAACTCATTCATAAACACCTCTCCCTGTTACAGAGAGTCTTTTGACATCATCATGGCTCTCAAGAAGAGGAGGCTCTTATTACATTGCCAGTCAATTATAAATGACAATGTAATTTCCCTTAACATTAGCATTAAGAAGAGTAAAACAAAGAAAGTGAATTTTTATTCCACTGAGTTAATCTAGAGTATATTTACCACAATTTTTTTTAAGAAACCATTAAAAAAGTTTATGTTTGAATGGAAAAATATTTTTAGCGACCTTTGTTTCCACAACAAATATTGTCTCCTGTCCATTTTGCTCTTCTGTAACTACTGCCCACATTATTAGCTTTTCAGCTAATACTCATTTCTGGAGCACTGAAATGTAAGCTGCTCTTTCCTTGAGGGAAAAGAAGTACATTCCCCTGAAAACAACATCATCTGTTTTAAAATAGCAAGAAAACCATAAAGCCACTCTTAAAGCCACCTTTGTCAACATATAATTTATTGACAGCCATTTTCAGAGAACTATTACAAACAGCTAATAGAGAGGAAAGCAATCCCAAACACAAAGTGTTGAGGAAAATGTCCCCTAATATATTAAATAATGCTTTGATACTCATAAACAATGATTTTTATTTTTACTTCACATAGTAAAAATAGTAGAAATATTAGAATAAAATATACTGCTATGAGTTTATTTTTCATGAAAGTGTAGAGTATTCATTGAGTTAGATTTTTTAAAAAGCACAGAAGAGAAAAAACCTTATTGGGAAACACAAAATGCACAAACATTTAACTCTGGAGTATAATCAGAAAAGAAATTGGTTTCAGAGATTGATTTCTGTAGCAGTCAGAACAGTTCTCTCAGTGCCACTCAATGCTGACTTTGGGCAAGGCCCAGAAGAAATGCCATAGTGATGTCAATGAGGGAGCCACTCCTGAGCAGGACTGATGTGATGATATTACTGCCTACTCATTTGTGTACACATTCTTTGTTTAAAAAAAACCCCACAATACCTCAAAATAACATGACACATTTTGCTCATTTTTGGACTTCCTTAAGGAAGTAGAAATATAACAATAAAACCCCCCATAACTCTTTATCCAAACAAGTGTTCACCCTTCCAGACATAATCTCCCTACCCAATGCAAGCTATTTCTTTTTAAATCCCATGTGAGTTACATTATCATGTCCTAACATATGGTAAAAACAAATGGGAAATGTTCTTATGCTAGGAGAGAGACTGAAGTCTAACTCTGCGTAGTAGATTTCACCTCTGCTTAGCAATATGCTTACAGAATTTAGAATTTCAGATTAGATACCACTGTTTTTCCTGCCAAGAACCATCTTCCTCAAACAAGGCAGATGGCATATTCAAGCAACAGGATTCAAAAGATATTCAGCTCCCCTTACAAGGGAAGAAACAAAAGATAGGAGACAACAGCTTATTTATTATTCAAAATCTGACAGGGGTAACTGGTAAAATACCCCTCGTCCTAAGCTAGAGGAAAGCCTCGACTAATGGAAATATTCTATTAATGTCCAACAGCTCCATTTTTTCTTGGGATGTAGTAATAAAAAGACTGTAAAAGAGGCAATCTCACAGCATCAACAACCCCATCAGTAAGCAAGCAGAGAATGATGAAAGTAAGGCCAAGAACATTACATGGACAGAACTCCAGAGTTAAACTCGCCCCATCTGTCGGGCAGTGTCCCCAGTTGTCAGCTACCTAGGTGGAGCATGAGAAACATGCACACAGATGGGAGACCCCAAAACATCTGTCTTGCCACAGCAGCATCACCAAAGGTTGAAATGCTATTTAAAGCACAACTCTTTTGCATTTGTGACAAATTTTGATATGAAAGTACAATAAACATTAAATGTAAAACTCTGAAGAAGAAGAGAATTGTCAATGCTAATATTCCCAAAATTGCATAAAGTGAAAGTAAGATTTAAAAAATCTGCAGATGTTTTGAAATATTGAGATCAAGGGCATGAAGTAAATGAGGAGCATGAAAAACAAAGATTATCAAAAAGATTAAGGAAAAGACAATCAAGGAGGAATAGAGAAGACATTAATGAAGATAGTATATGGAAGGAGCTAGAAAACACAGCCAAAATGAAAATCATAAGACAGAGCTGTAATTATAGTTTTCATCCTACCAAATAACATAGAAGCATTTAGTGTCCTCACTTTCCCAAGGAATTGTATGTACAGCATATCAGAGATGTACAAAATGCAAGCACTCAATAACTATTACTGCTTAGATGTGTTTAAACAGTCTGTGGTATTCCCTTAGAGCTCAAAGGTCCCTTTTCTCTATTGCTTAAAAAAAAAAGGGGATGGGGAAAGATTTCATCAATATTTATTATCCTTTTATTTTGAATGTATCTAAACTTATTTGGATTTCAATATCTACTCAAATGCATAATTAGCCAAATGGCTTCTTCACTTGAACTGAATGTTAATTTTCAGATTTCCAAAGGGATATGCAAACTGCTTTGAAGAATTGATGGGATGACTGTCAGCTGAGTATTTCTTTCTTTTTCACAGTATTTAGAAAAAACAATTCCTGAATCAGGTCCAACCTTGTTCCTTTTAGAAAACACAAGCTCAATTTTTGTGCACTTCTCTTTGTCTGGCAAAACTGCACAATGGATATCATTCAAACTGTACAACCAAAGGCTGTCAAATTGTGATCACTGGCATGAAACATCCAAAATGCTAGGTGCAGAAAAAAAGACATTCTTTTCCTTTAAGAGACCTATATGAGTAGTTGTAAGAACAAGACTCCTATATACAGTCTGCTCAGCACAGTCCACATTCACTGATGTAGACAGCAGTACGTGAATGTCACCTAATGAAGGCTTAATACTTCCCATATTTTCATAGAATAAGTAAACCAGGTCAGCTAACTCAGTTTGAAACTGTTTCCTAGTTCTTATTTTTTCCAATGGCATGTGAATTCTTCAGGGATCTTCTCACAAAGGCATCAGAGATCTCCATGCTTTTGCACATTGTGACAGCCTCTTGCACAGGGGATTCAGGCTGAATGACATTTTCAGTATGAGCTTTAGCACCATCACTAGTGTGGGATATGTCTTGATTCATGCCTGACTTGAGGAACACATTTACTCGCAGGTTTCTTATAAATGGCAGATTTTTTATTAATGATATTGCTTGGGCACATCTCTCACTTGCATCACACCAACTTCCTAACTCCTTAATTTGTTTAGAAACCACTGCACTGCTGACCAGCTGACTACTGGTATCTTTGTAAAAGCAGGAAAGCTGACTGAAAAAATATCCCAAACTGGAAGCATGTTCCGGCCTTGCACCAAAACAAGAAGCTATTGACTTAAAAGAAACCAAATCAGAGGCATTGTGTGTTGGAAGCTGAGAATTACTAGATTGGTCTTCAACTATCAGTTGCACTGTCTTTAATGGGCTGTTATCTTTGTAAGTTTTTGTTTCAGAATGCACATTAGACTGAGAAAAGAGAAGGCACAATATGCTGAAGCCAGTTTGCTCATTTAGCACCCATTAAGGATCCCACAGAAGACATCTGTTTCAAGTGGGAACAATCAGATTCAGTTCTTGAGCTGTCACAATCTGGAGAAGTAATTATTTTATCACCAAAATGATAGAAATTTTCAACCTTGTGGCGTGAATAAGCCACATTATTAAAGTCAGAACTATGTAAAGAAGTAAATAAAACATTCTGATACAGAACATTCTTACTCTTTAAAGTATTAGTACCTTTAGAGTGAATTAAACTACTTCTAGTGTCACAATGACATGCAAAGCTGTCCTGCTCTGAGTTACGCCTTCATTCTGAAATGCCTTCTCTGATGTACAAGGGGAGGAATGTCTTCCAGAACTGGAAAATAAATCCAGCATCTCTGTATATGCCTTCTGTCTCTTACTCCTGCATTTTCTCCACACAACTCTGAAGCACAATTGCCATCTTTAGACAGAAATGGAAAGCCACAGTGTGGCTGCCAATGTTGAATTTTCTGTTAAAAATTCCAAAAGAAGAAAATAAAAATCTCTTTGTAAAATCTTTTGACCAAAACATTTCTTTAACGGAGGATTGATTTTGATTAGATTTATACAATCATTCAAAATTGGTACAATCTCTCTCTCTCTCAAAAACCCAACAGCAGTGATTGAGATCTGATTAAGGAACAGCTGATCTTTTCAACCCACCCCTGCTTTTTCTTTGTACAGCATCCATTTCACTTGGTTTATACATGCTTTACTCAAAAACCCAAGGAAAGTCAACAGGCAATGCAGGAACTCATAAGCCCTCAATTTTTTTCCCCACACATGCACAAAAAAGTAAACCCATACTAGCCAACAGAGTGCAAAAGGTCCAACACAGCTGAAAAACACCAGTGTAAAAGTCAAAAGAAGTACAAATTTGAGGTGCTGAAGCCCTCCTGTTGTTATCATTTAAATCCATGAAGGCACCTAGGATTTACTCACCAAGACAATAACTGTGTTACAATCAGCACTTAGACAACTAAATATGGTGGGAGGTGTCTAAGCCTCAGTTTAAAAATACATAAATACATGTATTTATGAATACATGAATCCTTCAGGACACACACAGCCTGCCTGGTTCCTCTTGCTACCTTACAGACACCCTTACAGCAGTTCACTGTGAGTCAAAAATTTTACGTCCATTCTGAATTCAGACAATCATTGAATTAAATGAATTGAATTTAAATTAAATTTAATTCAATGCTCATTAAACACTCTTCTCCTCTAAAAATAATGAAAGGGATACTATTCCAAATTCAGAATCATGGCAAAACAATGAAGAAAGATCCAGCCTAACACCACACCTTTCAAACAAGGAAAAGCTAGGTACAATCTGAAAGAAAATCACTTTGATTCCAGCTGGTAAGATGCACCGGCATCTCTGTTAGCCATTAATCTTGCTGTGAATTCAAAATTCTAATTATGCAGCTAAACATTATGAAATTTAATTACAGGGCATGCCATAATTTAAGACAACCATTTCATTCTGACAAATTATGACCTACCTCATACTTCAACTTGCGTTGAATACTGCTGTTATTATGCCTCTCATTATCCTAAGCACAAAAAAAAGGTACAGGAGGTTATTAAAAAGTGCCTTTCTTGTATAAGTTCATTCTAAAGTATTAGAGGAAGAGACATTATAATAGACCAAAAAAAAAATCAATATTTATTAAACAACTGGCTTAGAAGTCAATCAACCCACTCTCTGGATCAATTAGATCACCAGTTTTTGAATAGGCATTTGTTTGTAAGTATGAAATTCCATCCAGAAGAACCTTAATTTTCATCAGTTATATCTTTTCTAACATAAAATGAAGATTTTATTTGCAAACTTCTTATTGTCATTTATACATGCTTTCCTGTCAAAAAAAACCCAGCATACAACATAAAAATGCCACTGGAAGTAAATATATGATTAAAATTGTAAAACTTACATCATACCTCATTTACTGTTACTTATTTTTAAATTTTTTTGGTAAATTAAGAGTAAGTAAACACAGGAGAACATGGAAATTACTGAATAACAAAACTAAATCAGTGGTTAGACATGCTCCATTGAAGGTCAGGATCTCACACCCATTTCTGCTCACCTTGAAACTTTCTGCAGACCAGGATGCACTAACATGATTGTCCTCAGCTTTGTGATGAATATTCTGCAGCCTTCTCTGCACTTCTTGTTCAATAAAGGCATTTATCCTTTGAGATACAGAAAAGTAAGTGTGTGTATGGAAATATAGTGTATTTTTACATAAAAATAAAGACAGACTAAAAGGCTCTTTGAAATGCTTTTCGCTCTAAGTACTGCACAGCTCTTAATTGGCAGGCTTAATGTTAGACCTGTTTTACCCCTTCTTAACGAGGGAACACTGACTTTTGAACAAGTGTTCATCTAACCAGTAAAGGTTAAAAAATTGTTATTAATTAAGCAAATTACTAGACCATAGGTTCAGCCACTGCCATGAGTGCAGCTCTACACACAAGAGGCAGTGAGGGCACAAGTGATGAAGAAGAAATAAGGCTGGGGTTGCATCTTTAGTAACTTAGCAGCTTGCCTTTGCTGCTGCTGTGATATCAGCAGCTTGGACTAGCAAAGGTTTGGTCTTCAAACAGAGGCAATGTTCCAAGAGCTGATACTGACAACTGCCATGTGTAAGTATAACAAGGGAGATTAAAGATTTTAGTGGTGCCAGGCAGCTGTCCTATTAAAAAAAGCTTAAGACAATTAAATTTACTTTGTTGCCTTAAGCATATATGAAGGAAAACCATATAGACAAGTAAATGTAAACTCAAAATCTATTTAAATACCTTTCAGCCTACAGTTTCCCAACCCTGTATTCTAAAACAAACTGCACAGGAGCAACAGCTGAGGCTATTGGCTGCTTACAGCCAAACATCAATTTTATTTCCAGACCAGTCTCCCAGTACAATCACAGTATTTAAATCAAATTTAACCCTGGCAGAATGGTCTTTCAAAATATTTTGTAAAGCTATTGTTTGCATTCCACTTCAGGAATGCAGGTTACCTACCTATCATCAACCAGTGGGGCAGCAGGTGTCTGTGCCTTTGTTGGGCTGGCAGGGGAAGTGCTATGGGAGAGTCTCTCATCTAATATTCCATGGTTTCCTTTCTGAGCTCCATCACCCTCATATATTTTTTGCTTCAGCTGCTGAATTTCCTGGTCCAGGCTATAAAGATATCATAACATGTAATTTGCTTTGGTTTAGAGTTGATTTGAATAGGTCTGATGATGGGAAGCCTACATTGGTATACATGTACATAAGATTGTAGATACTAATATTTATTCATAATACTTATGAAGGTTTAAAAATCGTAATTGTTCTTTAAGCACATTTAGATAGGAAATAGCTCAAAACCATATTCCAAGAGCAATATTAAGTCAAATAAAACAACTTCAATTGCAAGAGGTATCGAAATCTGTACATTAAATATTAACTCCTAAGACCTAACCTATCTATTAAAATCACTTTAATAAATTCTCTTTTTTACATAACTCTATCCATCACCTCAGATATTATCTTCCAGTATGAAAATAAATGAAGAAACGAAAGGGGAAAAAAAGAAAAACTCAAAGTACAGCATTAATACAAAAAAAAAAAAACCCAAAGAAAACCCAAAACATTCATGTGGCAAAACTTCTCTATAAGAAAATCTTTAAATTGTGTACTACACATGTACATTTTCCAGTTGTTCCATCTGTATATATTATGTTTTTGAAAATTTGCTAACAAAATAAACATAACAGTACTTATTGTATACATACAGCTAAGAAATCATCTTTTGAAACCTCCTTGCTTTCTTTAACAAATAAATTCTGTTCCACCCAGATCTATGCACAGAACACAATATGTAAAATTGGGTACTGTGTTTCTGACTAAAAATGCCTGATGGCATTTTGTATGAAATAAGAAGCACTTATTGCAATATTCATCATATTACAACAAAGCAATCTTTAGAACATCCTTTTCACTTGTAAAGTAGCTGAGATTAGATTAGTAACACAGTAATAATCTTCCCCATTTTCATTACAATTTTTGTCTCTAAAAGTAATTGTTTTTCTAGAGGTTACTTAGAAATCAAATAATAAAAGAAAATAAGTTCTTGCTAAAACTGGAGAAACTATGCAAACCTGGGATTCTACCATTTCTGGTGCAATTGTATATATCTAAACTGAACTGCAGTTCTATATTCCATCCTGGGGGTTAAGTGAGAAAATTAGAGAGATGATGAATGCTGAGGCTTAGGCTGAATTGTTAGTTCAGTTTTAGAGTGCTTTTTGCAGCACTGCCAGAAGCCATCTATTTCTTCTGATTAGCAGCAAAACAATCTTGTGTCCTAAGGGCAAGCGAATGAAAGATGGCTTATGCATATAGGAAAGTGTTTGCATCCATGGAAAATCAATTTAACTACAAAAATCAGATTTACATTAAAGGAACAAAGCTTAGCTCTTGGTTTGTAAACATCCTACTATGAGAAGGTATTACTTATTTAGCTACAAACTTAGTCAGCCTTGTGATGCATTCACCAGTGAGTACACAGAACTGTGCCCTGCCACTTGCTTCAAAGATGGCTCTGAAGCTGCTTCATGTTTATTCTAGTGCACCAAACCTCTGCCAGTAAAGCTAAAATGTGTGTATATAGCCCAGTTAAAGTTAACCTCAAATTATCATTTTGGGAGTAATCCCTGTTGTCTTGAGGTGATTCACAATGATATTAAATACCATAATTATCTGTGGCCAAAAACTGTTACTTGTGTCTTTTAAGATCCTGAAGCTGCAGACCTTGAGTGTCTGGTGGAATGGGGGCTGCAGGCATTTTAAAAAGTTCCCCACCTAAGTTTTTTCACAACATGGTATTTGCATTGCTGACTGCTTGGTCTCTGCTTAGGCAAAGCCTTTTCTTTCCTTTTTGGTTTGTTTTTTTTCTCAGATCAGAGAAACTGTGACTATGGCGACATCTGACTTCCAATCAGGATTTGAGGAAGAGATCCCCACCACTGGACAGCGAAGAACGGGTTGATGGACAGAACTTTGTGAGGGGTTAAAGGGTTAAAAGGGAAAAACCTCCATTGTGAGGGGACTGAGCACATGGCAGGGAAAATCTTTTGCTCCCAGCATTGTAACCTTGTTTCTTTATTCATTCTTCTGTTGTATATTTGATAAGGTTTAATAAACCTTCCTAAACTATGAAAAGTGAATAGCTATTTCTGACAGTATTAATTTAGTATTGGTGGAAAGGGATTGTTGGAACTCTTAAAGGAGATAACTCATTCCAGAGCATTCTCCTTTAAATTATCTCAAACCAAGATACCTGTGGGTTAAAGGATTTTGAGCTTTCATATGATTCAAGCAAATAAAAATATTGTATCTAGTTATGATGGACTTACATAGCACTTAAAATGATTATTTCATGTAAACATTTTCAGATACTTAACAACAATCTGAACCAGAGCACAACATTGCATAAAGGGATCTAGATAAACAATAAGAAATATATATAATTATTATGCTTACTATGGCATCATATACTGTGAAATGTAAACTCAAACACAAGAGCAGTAAGTAGCCTGAAATGTTTAACATACTCTCATGTATCTTTAGATCTTTTTCTTGCCTCAACATTCACAAAAACATACTGAATTGAATTATTCAGGCGCATGGGCTATTCACTGAAAGACTTCAAAGTTTTATTTAGCCTGTGAAAGAGGATTTTGAAGTAAACAAGAAAAAAAACCAAGGAAAAAAAAAAAGAGAAAAAAAAAATAGCTATTTTTACTTCCTTGGTATCTTCTCCAAACCTCAGTTTTCTGGCTGACAACATATTTTTTCACTTATCACACAACCCTATTTTTGTGGAACCTCCAGTTGTCTACAGCTCATTTTAGTCAAGTGAGATGCTTAGTGCAGAAAATGAGATTTTATGTTCACGACAATTATGGAAAATAATGGCAATTTACACAAAATGATCAATCAGTATTGAAAATGCTTAACTAAAAGCCAAACAATGTAGCTATAAATGTTGAAAAAGTGACCTTTACACAGTCTATATAAAGTAACTCTTCTGATAATGGTTTAAAAGGAACGGAATACAGAAGAGCTCTTCAATCTGGCTACAGGCAAGTTTCTTCTTTTAGGTTGTTTTTCCACATCTGTTTGAAGGGCTTATGAAAAAATATTCAGATAAATTAGTGAAATATTTAAAAAACAGATGACAAATGCTACCTCAGGAAAAAGCACTTCATTTTTTCACTGACAGTCTCAGGTTTTAAAGCTCCAGTATAAGCAAATCAGGTAGCACATTTAAAAATGGCAATTCTGCATGTTTTCCATACTGCAGGGATTGAACACATTATTTGCTCAGGTCAAAAAAAACCCAAAAAGATTTCTTCCTTTTCTTCCAGAGAGAAAGATCCTTCCCCACCTGACTGACTTTTCTCTGAGCCTCCCATACTTAGGCTAAATGTTATACTACAAGATATCTTGAGTATAACTGATGACATTGCTTCTGTGCTTAAAAGGGACTGTCATCACCCTGGGCAGTATCAAAACCTCTGTATATTTTCCAGTAAGCTTAAAAAGCAACATCAAATTTTACATGGATATAGCTTATTTTTATTTAGCCTTGAAACCAGGGCTATTAAAAATTAAACATTTACCCCCATTTATTTTTAATACCAGAAGGGTTCAGTATATCACCAGCTGAGAGGGGCAGTTGTTAGGTTTACTGTAACAGTCTCCAAATTTTGAACAAACATCAAACAAATACAGAAAATAAAATGTTATACAGAAATAATTTCAGAGAAAAAAGTTGTGAGATGGTGCATTTGCTGTAAGGGCAGAAGACAAGGATGTCTGAGCTTTCTACACAGGTAAAACAATTTAAGTACTGTGATGGCTAATGCAAATAATATCCTGCTGAGGATGGGATAAGTATCCAAACATACCAGAACTTAATAAGTGAGAAACAATCCTTTAAAAAGCAGTAGAGTTTCAATTCTGGGTAAACTACTTGAAACTCATGAAGAAACTCAAGTACTGGGACACTGAACAAGCTGTGCTCTCAACATCCAAGGTATGAGATTACTCCCCTTTTGTGGACAGGTCCTGATAAATGGAAGGTACTGCAGCACTCACCGTTCTCGGTCTTGCTCAAGAGCTTTCTGTTCAGCTTCCAGACTTGCCTGCAGCCCTGCCTGTTCACCACAGCTGTTGTTCAGGGTGGCCAGCTTCTGTTTCTGCTCTTCAATTTCAAAGTCTATGGTGGAACGACGCTGCAAAGCAGAATGCCTCCTTTCTAACTTAGCAACAGCTTGCTCCAGTGCCTCTCTCTGCTGCTTTTCCCTTGATTCAAGGATTTCTTTTTCCTTTTTCCGAACCTTTCCTTCCTGCCGGGCTACATTGGCTGCGAATTCAAAGGTTTCTTGTAGCTGCTGCAGCTGATTTGTGCTAGCCCTGTACTGGGCAAGCTGCTCTTCTTTTTCTTCTATTTCTTTCTCTATTTGATAGAGAGTATTATCTAACCCTAACAAGCCCCTGTCAAGGACTTCAGAAGCTCTTTGTTTTTCCTCCAGCAGAGCTGGCAAATGATTACTCTTCAGGTACTCAAGCTGGCGTATTTTAGATTGGAGCCTGTATTCCACTGGCTTTATCTTGTCAACTTCTTCAGCCTTGAGTATGGCATCCATAAAGTTTTCATCATCTCTCTTGAGATTTACATGTTCTTCATGTGCAAATTTTAAGTGCTCCAGAGCGCTTTTTTCATCTGCTATTTCCTTTTCTAGGTGATCCATTTGTTGAATTAAATCTTTTTCCAAAATAGCCAGCTGTTCCAGCTGTTTCCTTTTAAACTCTATGAAATCATGCTGTGCTTTTTCTAATTCTTCATGGTTTTCATCACCTTCAGATCGAGCTTCCTTGACTTTCAGAAGAGATTCTCTGATCTCTTCAAGATTTCTTCTCTCTTCTTCTAGTCTTTGCACATCCCCTCTCTTCAGGAGCTCTATCATGACCTGCTTCTCTCGAAGCTGTTCCTCTAGGTGAGCCACCAGCATCACCTGCTCTCTTTCCTGTTCTTCAAGTCTCTTTTTTTCTGATTCCAGCTTAAGATACTGCTCATCTTTTTCCTTTTTCAGTTTTTCTAGTTCACGAAAAATCTGCATTTTTTCTACTTTTTCATTATGATTAAGTTCTTGTAGTCGCTGCAATTCCTCTTTGACCCGGGCAAAAATTTCCTCCTGCTGCTTTTTCTTTTGAAGTTCTATCTCCTGTTGTTCCCGCAATCTCTCCTCTTCAAATTTTTCTTTTTCAGCCAGTAAATCCTTTAACCTGCTTTCAATGTGCACACTTCTTCGTTTCAGACTCTCCTCCTGTTTTCGGATTTGCAGCTGAACTATTTCTGTCTCTTTGCGCTGTGACTCTACTTCTTGCTGCATTCTTACAAGTTCTGCTTTGTCAGATTTTTGTTTTTCTTCCATCTCTTCTATTTGTTTCCTACAGTAAAGCATTTACATGAAGTTAAAAAGGTTTGGACTAAGATTTTTGACTATATATAACCACTTATTTTTTTAATAGCTTTGTTTTGCTACAGGTTAAGATCCTACATTGCTTGGAAATGACTCAATGCATGAGACAAATCAAAAAGAGATTCATACAGTCTGTGTCAGTATAAAAAGCTGTGGATATATAAAATTATATGAAGACATTATATAGCACTTATTAAAAAGTCAGACTGCATTAGTTATGTCAAATCAAATAAAAACATTAACAGAACATATCCATGCACACAGTGCAGAGTAAATATGTATTTTTTACATACATATATTCTCATGCACAAAAACCTTTATAGAAGGACTTGATTAGCAATTTGCCAAATTTAAGCCAACAGATGAATTAAAGCAATGTTTTCACTTTAAGTAACTCAAACTGAATTACTGATAAATAGTATTATAAAATGTGGCAAATTATTATGTCCTGTGTAATCTCTCTTACTTGAGGGTTACCGTTATTTCCATAATACAAGCAGAGACAACCTGCAAGTCAACTGGTTATTTTGCCAGAAGTCAGAAGAATTAAAGTACAAGCAAATCAATTTCTGCACAATCTGAATTCAGATTCCACCAACATAATAAAAACCAGTAAGTATCAGTGATCCTGTGTTGCACTATCTGTTGAATAGTATCTTTCAGTGCTTCAGAGCTTCAGGATTTTTCTGAATTTACTTCACATAGTCCAACTGCATAAAGAGCTCTGTCAAAATGGAGCCCACCATCTAAAGCTGAGAAGGCAGGAAGGTTTTCAGCTTTTGGATGTAATCAGTGCTGAGATCTGTAACAAGGCACAGCTCTCACTTCCACAGTCTTAGCAGGCATGATGAGCCAAAACAATCAACTCAGTTTGCCAGCCAGTAACAATGCTTTCTTTTGAATTTCAAACCAACTTCCACATAATGTTCTGAAAAGCATGATTAGTATGCCCACTCCACACCACAGTTAGATATGAGAAAAGCAGAATGTAACACGTGAGTTTCTCCTATCACTCTTCAATCCAAAGACAAATAAACCACAAAAAAGAGATATTAATTAAGAAGGTAATTTGCCATCTTTTAAAGAAAAGCCATGAAAATAAAGAGCAAGGGCAATATATGGTATCTGTACACTCTATCCAGTGTTTCTTTGCTAAATACCAGTTAGCTCCAATTCAGTTATTCAGGACTGTCTGCTTGCTGAATAACACTGTGATTCCAAATTCATGATGCAAAAGAGTTTGTAACTTGTATATATAGACACACATTCACACATAAATACCACAGAGAACAATGTTACCTTTTACTTTCTAATTTTTCAAGTTCCTCTCGTTGCTGTCTCTCGAATTCTAGCCTGATTTAAAAAAAAATAAAGAATACAGCAAAAAGGTTGTTTTCTGAATATCACAAAAATAAGAAGACATGATGCAATTTTCTGACTGTTTAGATGATAATGATACAAATGAAGTTTTGTAAGACTACTTCTTACAAGAACAGAAAATAGTTCCTTCATTAAGGTTGCAAATTAGGTATCATGCTGACATGAGTATAAATAGAAAAAAAATTAATTTCTGGGGAAAAAGTATTCAAAAAGTAAAGTGAAGCAAGACATATAGATGATTAGCATAGCCTCTGTGAGTTAACTACATGCAGACATGGCAATCAATACACAGAAATGTAATTTCTCTACCTTAGACAGATTGGTCCTTTTACAGGGAAAAGACTGCCATGGGAGGCAGGGGAAACAGAGCGATCAATTGAGAAAGGAATTGATAGAAAAAACATATTAGCAGAACAGAATACTTTAAAATCAACAGTGCTTTGTTTTATTGAAGGTTAAATTGGTTAGATTCATAGAACATTCATCATATTACATCTCAGAAGAAGAATTCAAATAATTATTCTTGCTAATCATTTTTCAAATGCCAATGACAGCTTAAGTAATTCTCTTCATCCTATGGTTTATTAACTTATCCACTTCTGAGAAGGGAAAGGGCTGCAGAACTACAGCAGTGTGTGCTAATAGTTCTGCCATTTCCTTCCAAGAAAAAGAAAAAAATCCCAAACATTCCTAGGATGTAATCAGTGGGGGTTGAAAAACCCCAAACAGCACATTCAAGCACAGAACACAATTCAAACCCATTCATTTAAAACACGCTGAGATTTTAATGCATTTAGTTTGACAAGGTTCTGAATAAGCATGGGAGAGCTGAAAATACTATTTTTTATTACACTTGTACACAAGTAGTATTTTTCTTAATTTAATTTGAAAGATTTATCTTTTATTTAAGGAAATTTTTAACAACAAATACTAAAAAAAAAAAAAAAACAGAAAGAACTATATATGGATTAAATTACTCAACCAAATATACACACATTCAGTTACTTCAGGCTTGTTACAGCATAAGGATATGCAGGTTAGTGAAGCAGTCCATAAATACTGATAAAAAAGCAAGACTGCACCACAAGTTAACTTCAAGTTTTTGATAAACTGCAGTTTAAGACATCGTCACCACAACTACATAGACAGGTTTCTAAAAATAAGGAATTTTTAATGATTCTTTTTAAAGTCATAGAAATGCATACAACAAAAAGAAATTGCTCTTGGAAATATGCAAATAGTACACTAATAATCTAGTATTTATAAAGCTATTGTAAAAAAACGTGATTCCTGCATGTTCAAGAAGCTAATGGCTGCAGTAAGGGAGAATGACTACTTTTACAAATCCTGTAATTCATTTTCCCCTGTTTCTCACAAGTTCATTTCAAAATATGTCTTCTACAATCCATAAGTGATCAGCCAATGTAGATTTTTATACCCAGATACAGGCATTCAAGCTTTCATGTAACTGTCTCACCAAGAGTCCCATTACATTTGCATTAAACTAAGGTGGGCACTTTGCAGCACAAGGATAGATGATGATAACCTAATATTTTTAATTTGATCACAACTGCTGCAGCAGCAGTGCTGCAGAAATCCACAACGTGGATGCAAAATGCACAGAGTGCTGAAAGGGAACAAGCAGCAATCTTGGGGGCTTTCAGGAAGCAAAAACTTAATCTAGTGGTTAACATGTGCTTTGGGTTTTCCTTCTCCCCTTTTTTTATGAAAGCTATACCACAAAATTTCTCCCTTTGGCTGTGATCTGCTATCTGAAATTCAGAGCTTTTAGCTATCGCTTCTTACCTAGGGCTGATAAAATGCCATAATTATTTCAGTCCAAAATAATAATGAATTATTTCAGTCCAAAATAATAATGAATTATTTCAGTCCAAAATAATAATGACCCTGGGGAACATAGCTCTGGCTTGTGGAAATTCAGGTTTCCTTTGAACACTATTAGATGTAGACCATCTTTGTTTAGACGGTTGGCAAAGAACAACTTGACTGTGTTCCCATGCTTGGTTAAGCCACAGTGAAGGAAAATGTTAGATCAGCTAACATAACATGCAAAACCCAGAGCAAAACCTTTCAGTGTTTTGACTGTCCTATAAAACATATAATTTGGCAGATATATATTTTTATAAGCATAAAAATGGTAACTAACTTTGACTGAGATCTAATACAAAGGAACCATCACAGCAATCAGTCTGGTATAAAAACAGATCAGTGATTACAAATTCTGTGATCTTCTCTTTGAGGAATTGTTCCTAAAACCTTCAACAGTGGCGTTATGACAATCAGTTTTACCTTAGACTGAAATGAAGCTGGAGGTGCCCAAAAAGTTGTTCAGGAAAAAGGAGTGAATTGTGCAAATCTGGTTCTTTCTTCAGTGAAAATGGTTCTTCCCCAAAGAAAAATATGGATCATTACCACTTCAGTCAACAGCCTCCAAACACAATGCCGAGGTGTTTTAAAAATGCATGTTCAGCACCCTGTACACCACTAAATACTTCTGTGAAGACAAGAATGTCGGCTACCTGGAGATGCCAAAGGTGGTCAGAGCTCCAATGAAGGCTCTCCAACAATGAGGTTATTCACAGTGTCTCCATTCTCTAAGGTGCAGCCTTTCTTCTCCAGGGCTAAGAATGTTTCCTTAGTCTTCCTTAGCTGGCTACCTATTTTCTTAATATATTTAAGGACTCACCACTTTTGAGACCTCTAGAATATTTGCTTCAAACTCATTGTGGGCCTAAATTTATTTCAGGACAAAAGAGAATTTGGAGAGGCAGGACAGGCCTGACTGAAGTAACTTTGCTTCTCTAAAAAGCTACTACAAAAAAAAACTAAGCACCACAAAAGAAAAAAACTAAAACCACAGAGGCTATAACAAATCATTGTCAGTTTTACGAAGCACACATGCAAGACTGATGTTTTTGTGTTTAGTCTATCCTAATAAAAATCTTTTTTCACATACCCTCTATTCCCTTTATTCATGTGAGCGCTACTGTGAATAGAAAAAGCATATTAACTTGAAATTAAAAAAACCACAGATATTAAAGACTAGAATCTACTCTTTCTTCTTTTGTAGATCTACCACAAAGGAACTTAATCTGATCAGTGTTGAATTAAATAGACACCATTTTCCTGGAAAGCGTGTCATATCTAGTGATAACAGCTGTGTAGATAAGCTGCAGAGAAATGAAGTCAGTTCTACTAGCACAGTACTACAGCAGCTTCATTTGCACAGCACAAAAGTGCAATCTGATACTACATCTGTTTGGAAAGGCTGAGTACTGGCAGGACTACAGAGAAGTTACAATGCTGTTCTGTATGCCAATTAATGAGATTAGTTAAAAAAAAAATAACAAACCAAACACCCCATACTAAACTGTCAGGCTGCAGTAGTTCATGCCTCAAACATTGATTAAAAGTTTTGCTTGTTATAACAAAAACTGCATAAAGAAGCTACAACCAAAGAAGACTCCCTGAAGATACCTGACTGGGACTTTGCGCTGTAAATTAAACCAGTAAGATTAGACAAAGGGAAAACCCATTCTTGAATCATCTCAAACCCAGAAAAAAACAAACAAAGCTGAAGGACAGGAATGGATCCACAAGCTAAATGCAGCAGATATTCTTCCCTGGCCGAGTTTGGGGTGGGAGAGACCACAGCCTACAGAAGACAGGGTTACACAGACGCCCCCCCTGAAATTATGCGGGGAGGGTGGAGGAGGTTTCGGATGTGGCCCCTGGTTAGAGGGAACACCCATCCTTCCCAACACAAACTGGCCCAGCTGTGGAACCCCCAACCCCACAGGCCACATTCACATGGCAGGCAGCTGAGGGGGTGTCATAATCCACCAAAAACCCCCCAAAGTGCCCCCCCAAGAGTCATTCCTGAAGCTTTGCACCACGGGACTGCACATGATGCAACAGAGACAATGGCAAACTCCCCTCCAACAGGGAGGTGCCTGGACTTTCCTACCTAGCCTGAGTGTGTATTAACCCACTGGATTCTGTGCTTTTTGGGGGGACCTTCACCACCAAGAAGATCAGATGGAGAGGATCAACAGAGCATCACTGGGATCCATGGAGTGGTGATATTTTCCTTATTCTGTCCCTGTTGAGCCCTGTCTGTCCCCCTCCCCCCCCCCCTGCTATTTTTTATTTCTTTATTTCTCTTTCTCTCCCTCTCATATTTACTATCAAATAAAACCCATACTATTGTCACTGGCATATGGTCTCGTTTGCACCTTAATTCAGCCAGAGGCATTTCTAAGAACTTTAGTAACTGGATCATGACACAGACCCGTGACAAGACCAAGGTTTCTCATCAGTAGTTTTACAGTTACAGTATCATGTAGCTAAGAAAAGGCCCACAAATGAAATCTTCTACATAAATCGACATGCAAAATTCTATTTTATCCAAAGCTCATTATCTGAAGCAGTGTTCCACGACACTAGATTAAAGACATAGACTGAAAAGAAGTAGAAAAAAGAGTTTTGCACATTAAGCCAAAATTCTGTGCAACAAAATAGTTTCCCACATATGGGAAATCAACAGCCAAACAAAAAGGCATACACAAGAAAAGACCATCCATCTGAAAACACTATTAAGGACAACGCTGGTTTTCACAGGAAGCAAGATCCACCACGTTGCTCTCACAACTGAAGGTAATACCCCACAGGCTCTTCTGCCATTCATTCTGCCAGAATCTTTATTGCAACCTACAAAAGTTGCAAATTTAGGTACCTCTTTAGGTTATTAATACTGAAACTGGAAGGTAAGGCTAAATTAACAACAGACAGAATGCTAGTCAGCCACAAAAACTGCACAGAAAAAACCCCAAAGGGCCAGCTACTGAATCCTGGCCCGCAGTGGTGCTCAGCAGTAAAACGTCATGCTGAGAGAAAATGATACTTCAATCTGTTGTAGGAAAAGGTCATAGCATTGCTCCTGATAAAACAAACAAATAAACAATCCCCAACAAATTAGATTTAGTGTAGGATATTCTTCTCCAGAATGCAAGATGCTCTATCTCTCTTCTTGGGTACAATTGCTCTGCCTCTGATAATCAGAGATATGATTCATTGAATGTTTCATCCAGGCTAAACATAGTCACCACTAAGAAGAATAACCACTATAGCACAGCACTTGCTTGGCAGTACTCTTAGCTGGAAATAGAGAGTTTGGAGCCTGCTTTATTCAAAACATATTTAACTTGCATTTATCCCAGACCTGTTACCCTTAAAATAACGCCTTCTGAACAATTATCTTTTTGTGACAACCTCACCACACAATCAGAAAAATTCCTGTGCTGTTTGAAGAAAAAACAGCATTAGCATCAACATAAACAAATTTTAAATTTTCAGGGTACCCCAGCCTAAAAAGCTGCTGTTGCCTAACTGCTGTCCATAAAGATGTATCAATTACAGAAGGTGCTTTCTTCTACTGATTTGTAGGGCTCAGGTAAACAGCAGTGCAACCTTCAGAGGCTGCCTTTGCAGCATATAAAACCAGACAGAAAACAGTAACATTTGAGGTTTGGACTTTTTTGCAGGGTTGGGGTTTTTTTGATGGGTTTGTTTTTTGGGGATTTTTTTTTTGTTGGGTGCTGAAGTCTGCAGAGGAGGAGCCGCTCGCTTCACCCTTTCAGCACTTGAATGGATTTTGCAGCAGAGTTGCTGCAACAGGACAAGGGGTAAAGGTTTTACACTGAAAGAAGGTAGATTCAGAATAGATTTAAAGAAGAAGTATTTTACAATGAGGGTGGCACAAATTAAAATTACCCAGAGAGGTGGTAGATGCCCTGTGCCTGGAAACATTCAAGGTCAGGCTGGATGGGGCTCTGAGCAACTAGTTAAAGATATCCCTGCCCGTGGCAGGGAAGGTTGGAATTAGGTGACTTTTAAAGATCCCTTCCTGTCACATATAGGTAAAACCTTACAAAAGAAATACCTTACAAAATCATGGTTTGGCTAAGTATAGCTAACAGCTAGCCTGATAAGCTCCTGTGAGAAAGGAATTCTAACAGTGAGAATCAGCTTGCACATCAATCTATTCCTGTGGGAACAGACTGTACCTGTGAGGTACCAGTGAGAAATTGTTCTTTACCCAGGAGACAAGTATGTAAACATGGTTAGAGGAGAAACTTTTGATGGACATGTACACTAGCTATTGCCAAGCAATGAACTGCATTGCAATGAATTGCTGACCAACTGGAATTAAACACAGTGCCTTCTCATAACCATATAAATTTGAGCTATGTGCAGCAAAGATCTGGCACAGTGCATAAGGAAACGGGGGTCTCTGTCTGTCTCTACTGTGACACCTTCCAACACAAATGATTGTGTGATTCAGAAGCTTCCTCACTCAGAAAAACATTACAGTAATGCACATTACAGTGAGTACAGAACAACTTCAGATAGGTTTTATTGCTCACAAACAAGTGACCTGGCATTCCTTATGCATTATGAACCTTAAGCATAATCCTTTCTTGTGTTCACAAATTAAGCAGGAAAAAATATCTATTCGTGCAAGACAGTTCATAAATATTAACTGAATGCAGACTAGTGGGAGAATATCAATAATTAACACTTTGCTTACAGTTTTTAGTTTAATAAAACACAGGCATGACTTGTTCAGGAATATTATGAATATTTCACCTAATCTTATTCACAATTTCAAGAGCAAGAGTACTCTCTCAATCACAGCCAAGAAAGGAAAATTCACAAGATGTGTTAAATGGGAAAAATGGCAATGTTTTGAAAAACTGCTGCATACGTTGACAATCTAAGAATGTTATCCATACTGTTTGAATTCCAGAAAAGCAAGGCAAGATGCAAACTGATAAGGAAAAAAAATAAACAGAAGAACTTGCAATCTACTCCATCATCTACTAGACAATCAAGTAACTCTCCAGACTCTCTCTGTTTCTGGAGGGGCTTTTTTTATAAAAGGAAAAATCCTTTCTGTAAGGCATGGATTTGGCATTACCCAAAGACAGTAAGACTGCTTTGGTTGGGAAATAATTTTTAAACACACCTTCAACTGGGACTTGTCCATGCCATTATATTTTGCTGTGAATCTGAGAGACTAATGGAGCAATGGTGAAACAATCCATCCTCTATGCTGACTGCAGAGTTAAGGTCAGTACTATCCAGTATAATACAAGTATTCATAACAATATTATAGCAGAATAACATTATCAGTCAGGGAAAAGCCCAGGATAGCTCAACAGTAACCAGAGGTAACAACAGCCAGGACCCCAACTCACAAAAAACATAATACTAGCAACTGTCACTGAAAGTTTTCAGATGCAATTATTTGAAAAGCTGAAGAAATAGAAAAGTATACTTATACTATGGGGTTTTTATCTTCTTTATCATCCCTGTCTGAAAATAGAATGTCATTTATTAGCAACCAGTTCACAATCTTGAGATCTCTGTAACTAGCTCAGTAGCAAAAGAGTAACAGTCACATCTGAAGCGGTGTTATTAAACACACTCCCTGTATTTCAGACATCCTTTAACTAGAAGTTATTATTACCTGTCCAATCTTCCTAAAGGATAAAGAGAGATTCCCAAGTAAAACCTGGGAATAAAGCTGCACTATCCAAGGATATAATTCAATTTACAGTCAATTTTTCAAAAGCACATAGGTTGTTAAATTGCCTCATCTCATACTCAAAACACAGGCCCTAGCTATGGGAAAAAAATTTAGAACAAAACACCACCATCTCTATTTAAGTCACTTTAGAAACAGTGAAAAATCACTAAAAACAGCTTCTCTACCATAAGCATTCTATGTCATTATAACTGCATAATAAAACTTTTTTTCCATATTTTAATTTGGCCACTTACTCAGAGGTACTGGCAGAGAACACAAGACATTCATTTCTCAGCCTTTTTATGCTTGTATTGGTATTATATGAACTCAAGGAAATCTTAATTTTCAGTTCAAAATGCGTTTTTCTCAGGAAAAATAGTTAACGTAATTCTGAAGAAAATACAAACATAACATTTGTCATGTCATTATTTTGCTGAACTGCTTTAGTCATAATGCCTCTGGAACACTTCAAACAGCTAAGATGAAGAATGACTGGAGTTATAACAACTGTATTTTAGAATATACTCACCCTGGATTATAAAGCATAACTGCTGACAAATTCTCACAAGATTTAGAAAGATCAGTCATAGACAAGCTGAAGGAAGACAGCAGTCCACTCTAACAACAGACCATAAAATAAAAGTATTAGGCATGCTCACAAACTCTTACTTTGATGAAATATTAACTAAAGTACATGAAGCAAATGAAAAAAGGCATCCTATAACAATCAAGACATGTCTATACTAGAAATAAAATTGTGAAAAGATTTAAATTTCCCAAACGAGAAATAAAATTGTGAAAAGATTTCAATTTACCAAACACTGATTTAATCTCACCTTTCTTTTCTCTCTTAGCTTAGCAGCTTCTTTAGGGTGGTTAAAGCGAAACATGTTAGTTCTCCCAAGTAATATAACAGCACCTGATGAAAAAAACACACACCACTAACTGACAACATTCTGCAGCTGAAAGTACCATGTAATTTTTCAGACATGCAATGCAAAGCAAAGACTAAAGCAAGAACTAAATGAAAATGCATTTTGGTAAGTGTATAACCATGCATAGTCACAGCTACCTTAACTGATGCATACAGTGTATTCCTTCATCTTCCTACTTAAACAAAAATGAAACCCACACATGCTCACACACTGCATGAGTATGACTGAATCAAGGTCAGTCATGTTCATGGAGTTCAGTGAAAGAATAAACACAGGGAGAGGAAGCAGCTGCCCCAATTTGATCTATATACTCTTCAACAGTTCTACTTTGGAAGCCATCAGCAGATGCAGATTTAACAGGAACATCCATAAATGTGACCAAGAACAAACTGGTCCATCTGCTACTGATCACTGGTCAGGTTTAAATCCAGCTGCACTAAAAGCTCCAGATTTCCATTATTTGCACTTTCACATTTTTCTTCTCCATGTGGAACACTGAAGTTTACTGTTATTCAAAACAGGATTATTAGACTTTAATACCCAACAGCTATTTCCTGATGGAAGAACCTTGAATAATTCATATTATTCAATGCACATCTACTATTGTATTTAATCAGTTAAGGTACAGTCACAAATAAAGAGATTCTGAGCAATTCTTATTGTATTTTAAAGACAATGGTACCAAGATTAATACTTCCCTACTAAGAAGTATATTGTCAGTGATGTCTCACTACTGTCATAACATGGAAGTCTTCCAAGTTCACCACCTCAGAATCAAGCACTTATCTGTCAGTCAGTACAAAGCATTTTTAAAAAGGACTCCATTACACTCACAGTATGAAAAAACTGTTCTCAAACTCATCACTACAAATTCTTACCATTTGATAATGACATGATGTCCTCAGCAAGGAATGCTTCTCTTAAAATCAGCTTAATTAGGAATATCAACTCAAATTAGGTGATGCAGTCTTAGCAGATAAATGGTAAAAAGCACTACAATCACTTCTTGCTTTCTAGACAACATCTCAATTTTGGATTACATTTGCAGTTTACCTCAGTCAAATCTCAAAAATAATTACCTTTAATAAATCTGTATGAAATTCCTTCAGTTGCTTTCAAGTGAAGATAAAAACAATTAGTTGCAAACATTTGTGACCACTTCACTAGGTGGAAGCAACGTAAATAAATTAATTAAATTTTCAGAATTAATAGTTACAGACATGTTTCCCTAACTTCATAAATTTCAATGAAGACAGGAAGCACACGAGAGTCAGTCCTAAATGATGGGTCATTTGAATAACTCCTAGGTTTCTCTTTTAAGTACAGAAGGGCCAAACCCCTGAAAGAGACTGTTTGGCCCAAACCCCTGAAAATGTATTCTGAGGTGAGGATATATTTAAGGTAAATGACAAACTGTATTTGTGAATGTTAACTCAGTTACCTTTACAAAAACACCACAGCCAGAATTTGAAAATGATAGAAGAAATCCATAGAAGGAAGTGGCAATTAATTACCATGCCTCTTATTATTTTTGAACTCCATGACAGTCTAAAAATTTAACACATTTTCAAATGAACAGCTATTAATGATGAACGGAAACATTTAAATATATCAGCAGTTAATCAGAGTTACCTAAAAGCAGGTATTTAAGGACCCTGGCAATTCATGCTGTGAGACTAAATGCTGGGATAAATAGATTCCACATGAGTCCTTAAACTAGTGATTTCATCAGTTTTGCACACCTAATGTCATCTTCCTCTCAGACTCAGTCTCCTTGCACAAAAGGTCAGCTTAGGCAGCTGTTTTTTACACCTTACCGACCCTAGCAACCCTTTCCCCTTTGAGTTGCAAATTTTTGTCTAAAGAAATTTATGAGGGAAAAAAGTCATGTTTCCACTTTTAGCAGTACAAAAATCAAGTTGTAATATGCATCTGAAAGAGGGAAATAGCATCCAAACTCCTGCTTTTTTCTGAGGCACACTGAACATTTTCTGCCTGTAAAATGCTACAGGATAAAGATGATTCATCACAACTCAGTTTTTACTGTTTACAGAGTTATTTGCTATTAATGTCAATGTTTCTGTTGTTAGGAATTTATGCTTAGATTTACTCAAACCTAAGACCAAGGGGGTTGGGCTTTTTTTTTTTTCCCTGTAATAGAAACAAGCACATATGCCTCTCATTTTGCATGAAGAAATAGGCACTCTAAAAAAAAAAAGAGTCAATGTTACCTCTCTACACCTTGCTTTCTGCAAGCAGCCTTTAGAGAAGTATTTGTCAGAGTTCAGAAAGGATGCAAGACTCCCCTTGTTTAACACTGCATTCTACTTTTATTAGCCTAAGCTTACACTGAAATCTTCTCTTCAGGGAAGTAATGTGACATTGTTTTTCAGCAGCTGAGCTGTCACAGCCTCACTCCTAAACAGGTCTTTTTCAGTTTCTTGCTAAATGGGAAGATATTCTGGGTGCTCCTGGAAGATAAAACATCGAGCAGCTCTCCTGCAGCACTCACCAGCTCACTTGTCACTCAGTCTTTCCAGGCCAACACAATGTATCGTTGTTCCCAGCTGTCCTGCTGCTTTTAATTTCCAGATTTTATAGCTTTTACATTAAAATTGTAGCTCTCTAGACCTCCTAAGGGTTAGGCTCCCCCTTTTTGTCATTTCCTATAGCTGCAGCAAACAGATACTCAAGCTCAATCTCCTGCTCTACAAGAGAACTTGGCAGTAGTACTAAGTAGGACCAACCTGAAACTTCGGGAGAGGGGCAGGGGTGTCTCTGACATTGTTTTAGTCCTGTAGATATCTATATTATTTTTCATAATGTAACAGCAATCTGGTATAGAGTTCACTTTGTGTAAAGACGAACAGAATCAAATGGTAACTATCAAATCATAACCAAGATTATTAAATTGTTGGGGTTTAGGATTTTTCCTTTTGTTTCTTCCTCTTAAGGAATTTTCTCCTATTGTGCTGCTAAGAACTAATGACTGGTACGTAAGAGAGACAAAAGCAGTGTTGCCAAGCTCAGGGGAAGAGGGCACTTCTTCCATCTGAGGGTTTCTCTTGGAGGGACAGAGACAGCAAAGAATTTGGCTGGGGAAAAGAGGGCCTGGGTGCATCTCCTAGCTCTCTTCCTCTCTCAGCTTCAGAGGAAAAAGTCGAGCTGCTGCATGGGGTGGGGGAGAATTCGTTGCCACTGCTGGACCTGAGCCCTGCCCTGTTTCTCCTGCCGTGGGTGAGTGAGCCTTTGCTCCTGAGAGCAGCCATTGAACTAGGACCTTACTGGTGTGAAAAATGCACATTATATTATTGGCTCTTTGCAAATATTAAAAGGAATACTATATGTGTTATGTTGGAAAGTTATCTTGCATTAATTTTGTAGTACTGTATTAATCTTTTTTTAAGTAGTGTGTTAAATATAGTTTAGGCTATAACATAATATTAAAGTAGAAACTATGCAATGTAAGATACTTTTTCTAGCCAGCTCAAGAACTGGATAAGATAATCAAGAAATTCTTCGCACAGAGATAACAGCAACAAGACACTGAAATCCCAAAGAGAAGAATTATTGCCTCCTTATTGGGAAGAACCAGGCTCCTTCAACCTCCTTCCAGACTCTACGGACCAAACCATGATTTACAAGATGAAGGGGAGGAAGTTGACAATAAACAGAAAAATCCCTCGTTTGAAAGGAATGTTTGCATCATGTATGAGATATATGAACATGTAACAGGCTAGTGCTTTTAAAGGTTAATCTTTGTTAGCGGACATGCCTTTTTAAGGAAAGCATCCGGACTTCCGTAAGTCTTTGCTTTTTTATTGTCCTTTATTGTCCCGGCCCGCCCGCCATTGCCGCGTGAGGGGGACGCGGCCGAGCTCGCGCCGCAGCGCCCCCTGCAGGCGCGGGGGAATCAGCGCACCCGCCCTGCCCGGCTGGGAGCCAGCAGCGCCCCTGCTGGCCGTGAGCGGAACTGCAGCCACGGGGAAAGCGCCGCGGCCGAGAGAGGCCGGGCTGCGTTTGTGCTGCTGCCTGGGGCTGCTGCTGCCACTGGTGTTGTTTGTTTGTACATACATATACATTAGTACAGAACTGCTGTTCCTTTTCCCATACCTTTTCATGATAAGGTAATTTCAGTTATAATGATTCAGAGGGAAAGGAAATCATATTCTCCATTCCAAGGGAGGTTACTGCCTTCCTTGGCAGACACACATATTTCAAACCAAGACAAAAGTGGTTGAAATTAAAAAGGAATTCTCTTTTCACCACATGGCAATTCTTTGGCAACAAAACACTGTGGAGTTTTCCTGGTGGACTGGTCGCTCTGTTATTGGTCCCTCCAGCACTGGGAATAGCTGCTGCAGGCCATAAGGTGTGAACTCTCAGTGTTTCCCAGGTCCCAGTCTGGAGCAGGTTCAAGTGGTTCCAAAAAAGGGAAAGGAAAAACATTCCAGGGAAAAAATTTGGACTGCTTAGCTAAACTAACTAACGAGCAGAAGCAAAAAGCAAGAGCAAAGCAGAAGCAAAGCCAAAGCAAGAGCAAATCAAAAAGCAAGAGCAAAAAGCAAAAGCCACACTATGTACTGCCCCGTCTCTGTGTCCCGCCAGCTGTGGGGAGCAGGCTGATAACAAAACCAAAGCAAAACATTCTCTTCAGAGCCAGTCTTGAAGGCACAGAACATAATATCCAGCATAAACAGAACAGACAGCTGGGGATACAAGCATCATAACGTCACCCTAGGACAGGATTGTAGTTGAGAAGACATTAAATTAAAACTAATTAAACAATAATCCATTTATATACATATGGATTTTTTTCAGGAAGAAGGAAAGAGATTGCCTGAAAAATGATATTACACTAGGAAATACCTTGGTTGAGGTGTGTGGGTTCTGTAATCTGAATACCATTCACAGAACACTGCGCTCCATTCAGTGGGATGAGGTTCACAGTACCATTGAGATTTTCAAAGATGCAATGCTCACTTTCCAGATCAAGGCCATGAAGAACTAAACACAAAGAAATAAGATAACATAATTAGACTACTTACAACTAGTAAGATTAACATGTAATAATGATTTATTAAGAACACATTGCACTACATATCAGAGAGTATATCTTCTCTTTATTCTGGACAATGTTTTCTTCCTTCCTTTATCACATCCTGCACACCTTAAATATTTTTTGTTTTATTCTAGTGCAAAGAAGTGTGCTGGGTTGGTTTTGCTTTTTTTTTTTTGGTGTAATGGTCTTTATTCCTGTGCTTTGATGCCTCATTAGCAAATGCTCCTTTCTTTCCAATAAAAACCAGAAAAGTACAATTCATATATTTGTAGAAAGAGATTCTTTGACCAGTTTCACAAGGAAATAATGAAAACTTGTAGACCTTAGGGCAACCATGCTTAAATCTGAAAAGACAGGATATAAGATGCCATTCAGACAAAAGGATGGCTGAAGTTCTTAAATCCGATGACATTCAGTGGTTTTATCAATCAGTTATGCCACTTTCCATTTTTCCTTCAAATAATGTGTGATTGTGTGTATTGCTTAATACAAGGCATCACAAGTTTGGTAGTTTCATGGAATTTATCAGAGTAATTTAAATCCAAACAACTTTTGACTCATGAAAATTTACCAAACTTAGTTATTTGACTCAGATTCTCACCCAAGAATTAAAGGATGCAGTTTACTTAATGAAATTGCCTTCCAGGAACTTATGTAAAGCTTATGTGATCGGACAGTCCAGATCTGGCAGTTAGTTGCATTGATAAGAAATCAATAACAAAAGCAGCAGATTTTTACCAATTTTCTGAATTTTTTTTAAACTCAAATCTGAAGTCCCAAGACTATCTTACATATAATAGTCTAACAATGCTGTCATTATACTAAGGTTAAGAGCATGATTTTGCAGTAATTGTGTTAGGTGCTATATGAAAAAGGACAGTATTTTTAAAGAATGCTATAGAAGAGAAGTAAGAAATCAATTAGTAACGAATACATGAACATACTTAAAGCCCACAAGCTATGCTAGAAGTCATGCTGTTTGAAGCAAATCCCATGCAATTCAGCGTTCAGATTTTCTAAAAATTAAAATACACAAACCACAGAACAACTAACTGAAAAAGAGAAAAAAAACATATGAAGCTTAGTTCACATGTTAGGATACTGGAAGAAGAAAGAATACAACAATGCCAAATTCCATACCAATGTCCTGTTCTGTTAAAGCATCTTCTCGGCCAACATATGTTTGGCCCTCCTAATTAAGAGAGAAATACACATTATTTCCAGTTGGAATCTCCTTATCTCCCCCACAAGAATATAATTTATCCTTCCACTTTCTCAGGGTAACCTGAATGAAATATATATTTAAACATACATGAAAAAAAGGAATCATGTAGCATTTTCAAAATGCTTTCACAGTCTTTATTTTACAATGTTATAAGCAAATACAAGTTTCAACTGTCCAGTGCAGAACCACCTTTATAGTTTTGGGACAATAGAGATTTAGATTTTAAGGTCAAGCTTTATAACATTAATTACAAACCAATACACACATAAAAATATGAAACATTTATAGCTGGCTAACCAGTTGACTCCCAGGATAAACCTAAACAGATATTTTCATTTCATCATTTCCAACCTCTTAAGAGCTTTTCTTACCGGAGCAGACAAGCATGAAGAGCTTTTCTTACCATAGTAATGTAATGAGCACTATATATAGATAACAAATCAATGCTGTAATTTTTCTACTGAAAAGAATCACAAGGCATATAAAGGCTACAGAAACACAGATGTGTATTTACCTTCAAATGGTACAAGATGATACCAGTACTGAGAAGATCATCATCAATACCAATGAGATGAGGCAGTTCAGAATCTAACACAACACCTATCCCTTCTTTCCTCAGAGCCAAAGTTTGTTCCTATAAAAGACAAAAGTCTGTTTATTAGGATGTGCAAGAAATACCCCTCTTCCTTCTCTCTCTAAACCACATTTAATGTAACTTCTCCTGTGTAATATAACAAAAAAGAAAGCACAATTTAAAAAAAAAATGATTTTACATTTTAAATGTGACTTCTTTACTTTTATTAAGCATTCCAAGCTTGCTGTTGAGGAAATCTGTGAAGGTGTTATTTGAAGGAAACCAGACAAATAGCTGAACTACACCAGAGAAGGAGCATCAATCAAGAGTGTAACAAAGCAATGTTGTCTAAAAGCAAGCTATGTGCTACCTTTCACAATGGGAAGGAGAATTTCAAACTCCTCAGCATTCAGTACAGCTAAAGAACAGAAAACTGAAAACTTTTCAGCAGTCCTTTCAATAAGCTGAGCCTTGCACAATAAAAACCCCAGACCTCTGACAATTCAGTGAACCTAAGCAGTTGAAATATCATGCAATGGAAGAGAAGCATTGCCAGTAGTAAATAAATGTAAGAAATATTCACAGCACATAATTTCAATACTTCAAAATTTCTTGGGCCACATTGTACAGCCATCCATATGTTGAAGCATCATTCAGCAGGACTTCAAGTGGGAGATTTCAGCCTTGGATAAAGTAAAGTATTGTGTAGTACACAACAGTCCATGCAATAAATAAAAAAATAATTATAGCTTTGAAATAAGTTTTAGTATTTAAAAAGTACAATTTTCAAGTTGAAACAGAATCCTATTGGCTTCTAGGCCTGGAAGATTACAACAACAGAAATTGTGAATGTCTCCACACACACACAATCTTTCAAGACAAATATGTTTTCTGTGTAAAAGGGCTAAGCCCTGACAATCCATGAAGCAGAGGCAATGTCAGCAAGTATTCCTGTGTATTACAAGGAGCACACTTTTCTCCTGGTGCTAATAAAAATGGAAAATAAGTTTTGTGACAGCTGCATGACTACTCCTTTTCCAAGTCATCAAATGCCTTCCCCAGAGCCAAAAAGACACCACACTGTTTGTAAGAAAAAAACAACTCAGAGATTTCTACATGTATTTTCCCAAGTACAGCAACTTGCAAGTCTAAAGAAGAAAGTAGATGTAAAATCTCATTTCCCTGCAGAAAAAAAAAACTGTTGTCAATATTGATGCTGTCTGAAAATTTCAAGTATGGATACATCTGGGCAAGATGAGATGATGACACAACATATAAGACTCTGCAAAACAAAACTGGGAAATGTTACTCTGGTCATAGATGAATTAAAAAGTTCTTCACCATACAGACAGAAAAAAATAAGCTGTGATTCATGTGCAGCTCAGACATTCACAATGCATCCAGATATTTGTTCATATTATAAAAGAGTCACATCATAAACCTAAAAAATACAGCTTAATTAATTGTTCAAGTAAAATTGAAAAAGTAATTTCAGACAAAAATACCTATCACATATTAGATATTTACTGAGTAACATCTACTGTTATACATAATTTATAATGTTCCCACATGGCAGGGGTGAAAACAAGACCCTGAGGACTGGTGACCAGTTACTGCTAGCACCTTCGGCCCAATGTAACTGATAAAATATTAAAAGCAGAATATTTTTTTCCACAGCACAACAAAGCATTTGACAATGTCCCCGACAGAGGAAAAAATAAACATCCCAGGAGACAAAAAATGATCACTGGGTGAGAAAAACAGCTCACTAATAACTAAGAATAAAGAAACAATATGATTCGTTATTTTCCAGTCTTTCAATATTCAACACATTCCTATTATAATAAGAGATTAATCATGTATAATTGCAATTTAGAACAGATGGACTGCTTTTTTATTCAGATCAAAATTAAAGAACACAAACTAATTGAGTTTCTAGAGTTACATTTTGTAAATGACTACCATTCACGCACAGAATGCATCCTCTTAATGGAAATTTTATAAGAAATGCAGCAGACAGTAGCTGTGATTAACTATAATATTTTTAGCTTAATACGGGCTGTAAATAAGCTTTTATCTTCGGATACAATTTACTAAAACAACTTGAATATTAATCAGGTACCTGGAGTAACTCCTGAACTTTAGTCGTTTGGTTTAACATTTAATTCCAAATTCAAAATCTTCTGCAAGGAAAGCTCCAAAAGCCAAACTGTGCACTTCTGCCCCAAAATGAAATCACAAAAAACATCACCAACAATAAATCTTTATTACTCTGTTCTCTAACAGTGAGAGAAGGCAAAGAAAAAGGCCCAAAAGAAGTAGTCGAACTGTTCATCCTCGACAGCATAGCAAGAATGTTTTTGAAGAGTGACAGACCTCTTTTGAAATAAATTAAAGGTCTGTAAGCTATTACAGGGCAGAGAAATTATTAGGTTTAATCCACTATTTGATTCACTTCCATTTGTGCTACACAATTTTAAGTGGTGAATCCATAACTCAAATTACAAGAGCATGAAAGGTCACTATCCCTATTAAAAATTACTAATTCAGAAAATTTATGAAAATCTCAAGATGCAGTTGAAAAAAAGCTGAATGTACCCCTGTGCTTCTTAGCTTGAATTATCCTTGAACAGAAAAGTGTACACGTACTCCCTCAGTATTTAAGATGTGTTCACAAGCTGGGGAAAATAAAGCAAGCTGAGTATTATCCACAAAGGAGCACTTAGGTTGGTACAAGGGGCCACTGTGGTAGGAACAGAAAAAGGTTTGATTCTTTGGGAGCTGTTAGATCAAATGGACTCACTTGGAGAGTAGGAACTCAGAAAGTAACTCTAGGACAGAATACAAAAAAACCCAAGCCTTTAAGTCAAAGTTAAAATAAAGGGATTATATTGTATATTTAAATTCTCATCTCTTTTCTTTCAGCTATCAGACCTAGCCTGATACAGTAAATTCATTTACATTTATATAGAGAGATATAAAAGCTTTTGTGAAAACTCATTTCTTCTGTACTGATGTAATAAGTTTACTGTATTAACTGATACAGTGGCACCTCTCAACTGAGATATGATCTGGTAGTTTAAGAACAAATCTATGACTGAAGTACTCACTTGAGCTGAAAAGTTCATCATCATCATCTACAACTATCCATTATAAGGGCCACTGCTGTGACACACAGGATGTCTTTAAATGGATCTCTTTGAATGCACACACAAAAACAGAAGCACACAACTTTACTCTTTGTTTTGGCCAACAAGATACTGAATTAAATTTAAAAAGAAAGTCCAAAAGGCATTTCTAACATTCCTTTACCAATCTAATAGTAGAGGAAAACATTAGGCTGCTATTGTCCCAGCACATATTAAAGACTACATGTAATTAGTGCACTGCAATGAACATAACCTCTCAGAAGAGTTCAATTTTTGTCAAACTTTCCAATGCAAAAATGCAATTCCTTTATTTAAATATTGAACAGATAGCTGCTGGCACACAGTCCTGAGAATACACTGTACAGACACTTTTAGTAAAACATGACAATTTACTTAGCCAGCATGATCTTCCGATTTCTACATTTAAATTATGAAAAAAACCCCACATGATACCAAACTAAAAAATTATGTGCAAAAATGTGCAACGGCAAAAGTCTTGGCATTAATATTTGACCAGACTATATATGAGAAAATTCCTATGCTAACAGGTACTTTGGGTGCCTTTGATTTTTTTGAAAATATGCTATTATATCCCGAGTTCACAAAAATGTCTGACTATACTCAATGGCCCAGCACTAACATTAAGTCCTTTATAAAATGTATAGATGTAAACTGCACACAAGTAAAGTTCTTCATTCTTAATTGGTCTTCCTCCAGTTATGTATTCAATTCACTTTGCATTTCCTTTAAATCACTGGAGACAAAGGTTTCATACTTAAAGAAAAAATACTCCAGTGTTCAGATTCAAATGCTCCTGAAAAAATTTATTTCCAAACCCAGCAGATACATGGTATTAAAGAAACTATGTAAAGAGAGAGAGGAAATAGGGTGAAGCAGCACGAGTGAAAATTCAAAACTTCTCTCAGTGAAGTTTGAGTTTCCAGAATTAAACCTTCCACAAAAAGAGAAAATGAGACAAAAGTGTGGGCAGGACTGTGATGAATGTGCAAAAAACCCAAGGGGGAAAATTCCCAAACAAGCAGTGCTCACTTGATTCTTTTTATATGAGGAAGTAGAAAAGAAAATTGATCATCAGGAGTTCAAAACCAAAAAGCAACCCCTTGTTGTTAAATACAAGGACACTGTGGACACCAATAATTTACATGGCTGCAAGAAATTACCTGGAAAAAAGATGAGAAAAGGAAAAGAGGCACTTGTGGACAAAGGCACAGAGTATCCATTGCTTGGGGGTACCTAACTTCAAGAATCACAAACACAGAAAGCATGTGGTGTTTTCTGGAGGATTGCTATCTGCTTGCCCTGTTTTATACTCCAAAATTGAGCACAGCTGAATAAACCATAACTCACCTACAAGGAGCTTACTCCCATCATGTGGGTGGTATAGTCCTAATGCAGGCTTTGCACGGATTAAAAATTGCAGGATATAAGAGGAATATATTGCAGACAGACTTCTGTTTCTGTTTATATAATATAAATTAATAGAATAATTCTAGTTATAATTCTTCTCAAAATGCCACATAAACAGAATGACTACTGCTCCGAATTTTCAACTGCATTGCATGCTAATTATTATATTTATAAAGATGACAGCCAACTACTGAAGTTGCACTCACAGTATTAAGAGGCAAGTGTAGAAAAAAAAAATAGTAAAGCTGCCAGTAAGCCCAACAAAACACAAGGAAGCTGATTTGATTGGTTCTGTAATTAAAGGAAAACCTGAAGAATTTTGCCTCTGCCTGAAATGCAACATTTCTCCTACATGAGGAGAAACAACTGAAAAGTGACCTCCTGTGTAACAAGTGCTGTGCCCAAACACCATAACAAGCAATTTTATAGATTACATTCAGACTCCCATCTGTCATATAATGCAAAATTATTTCAAATATTTGG